ACGGTTAAAAAGCATTCCTTTGAATCGCCCCTTCTGACTGAAAATTATTTTTTTTTTTTAAGAAAAGGAATGCAATTGACGTATGCGAATGTCTTTCTTGTCGTTCTGAGAGATAATAGAGCAACTTATTTGTACAAAATATACAGAGCGGTGCATACCATGACTCAACAAAATCATTAACAACGTCTGGAGAACCTTCCTTGTAAAGTTCCACGGTTATTGAGCCTTTTGATGTGTTTATCACCTGTCAACATAGATATGAGTTTAACACATTCTTGAAAATAAAGAAACACCAACAGGACTGGCTAATGTAGGATGATACCGACCACACTAAGACCATCAACGAAATTACAAAAGAAAAAGATTATGAGCAACAGACTGTAACATTATCAGTAATAGTTGGTTAGATTTTATCAAATCATATTGCATCAGAGCAGCAAGCCGGCAAATTAATAGCTAGACTAAAGAATATAAGGAGAAAAACCATGATAAAGGCTGAGGTTCTTTTCTACACATGCAATTGTTGCTCTATTTGACAAGTACAGTCTGTTCGGTAGATTTATTTATACAAAACTGAATCAAGTAGACAGTCAATGATCCATTAATTAATTCCAACACCGAGAGAACTTACAGCATACTTGGGAATATCAACTTTCTTCGAGTCAACACGTAAACTATCATGCTGCAAAAATGTAAGAGAAAAAATCATGTAAAAAATAAATGGAAAAATAATGTCATAGCTGGTGCCTAAAATCCAGGATGAATATTGCTACAAGCTTAAAAACAGAGGGTATAAAAAAAAATCTAATTTAATATAATTGGTGACGCAACAAAGAACTTCCATTTCGTAGAGAATTGATAATACAAGTACGTATCTGTAAGAAAATGACTACAATTTTTACGTAGTACCTCTACACTCGATATCATATCACCGGTCTGAAAATTTGACCTGAACAAGATACAAAAATGAAGGTCATTAACACCCTAATTACCATTACACAACTTATTTTAGCATAAAGAATATAAAATATGCATATAACAATCACAATGAATCATCTAACTACCTGTCCGATCGCAGCTCCGACAAATATTTCAACAAAAAGAATAAAAAAGGTAGAAAAATTAAGACACCCAATCCACGAAGACAAATTGTTTTAACTCTCAATCGAATGCCCCTAAAATCACCATAGATGAACATAGTTCCCAATATTTATTTTTTCTCCTTATACTCAATCGTGAAGGACAGAAATAGAATAGCTCACCAAGAATAGAACTTGTCATGTAAAATAACCATAACTAGTGCCAGCCATAACATGAAAACCATATTATAGGTAAAAAGGAACACACCTTCTATTCCAGTGTCTGTATGAAGCAAAAAGGAAAATCACCATGACAACAACAATCAGACCGTAGATCCCAATCGTAACAAAACTGATTCGACTCGGTCCCTTCTTTTTTTTACTCTGTTGTAAGAGAGCTTGAGGTTTGATCCTCGCCATGATGTTCTGCCACAAACTTCAATCTGCAAAGGAAAATCACGCAGCAGAACCTCAAATTCAACACATCCACACTAAAAACCCATCAGATTCAAAACTCTGAAAATGCTCAAACAGATTCTGAATCTCGATATAAGAATCGCATAACTAAACGACGCATCGGGATATTACA